CACCCTTTTTGAACTTGGCCACAGTAACCGGAGAAGGACAAACGGTGTATGTTCTCATTCATTTGGGGAATATGAATAATAGTGAAAGGGAATATAAGGGAAGGGAGAAGAAATGTGTGAGAAATATCAGAAAGGGAGACAGAACATAAAGACTTCTAACTCTGGGAAATGAACTAGGGGTGGTGGAGGGGGAGGAGGGCGGGGGGTGGGGGTGAATGGGTGACGGGCACTGAGGGGTACACTTGAGTGGATGAGCACTGGGTGTTATTCTGTATGTTGGTAAATTGAACACCAATAAAAATTAATTTATAAAAAAAAAAAGAAAATGTTTTGGAAATAGTAGTGAAGGTTGCATAGTATTGTGGATGTAATTAATACCAATGAATTGTACACTTAAAAATGGTTAAAATGGCAACTTTTGTATTATATATATTTTAGCACCATTTTCTAAAAGCTAAAAAGAAATAATAGTGCAGAATTATAATTACAGCTCAAAATGTATTCAATTCAAACTAGGTTTGCTTCATTTTTAAGTAAATGTTCTCAATTAGACCTTTAATTTAACATGTACTACTAGATGTTTACCATTAACTAATAAAGGACCTTTTTTCTGGTAAAAAAAAAAAAAAGTTTTAGAAAGTATCATTGGAGTTAACCTAAATAGCTAAGGGAGCACAGATGGGGGAATGATTAAATGTAACCTTGTAGAGGAGAGGAAAGGTAAAAGAAAACTATTGTTTCCTTTATAAAATCAAACAAGGGCTTCTAAGTGTTGACTAATGATTCTAATATTTTAGTTTGAAATTAGATATGCTTCCTTCTGGGATTTTTTTTTCCCCTACACAGATCTTTTGTTTACAACTCATTACCTTTTAGTTCTAACAATTGGAGTTAGAAAAGCTGGTTGATGAGTGGTCTCTAAGGGAAAGGTAAATAAATCCAAGTGTCAAGATTTGAGTCTATGGAGATTCTTCTGTTCTCGACCTTGGAGCACCAGGGTGTAATTTCCTAATTTCTACAAGGAAACTGCAGGTGTTTGTTTGTTTGTTTAAGGCTTCATGCAGAAGTCACCATCCAAACTGTGCTTTGAGAGAGTGAATTTCTCTCTCAAAATTTGAGAGGGTAGAATTTTCCAAGTAGGGGAAGCGTGTTCAGGGCAGAGGGGATAGTCAAATGATGAGAGACTAAAAGGGAGAGTTAGAAACTGAGGCTGACTCAAAAGTATTTTAGTCTGGGGAGCAGAGTGCATAGTGATACTGTTAACTAAGGAAGGGAATACAGAAATACAATTGGGAGCTGGTGTGGAACATTATCTCTGTTCTGGGCATGTTAATTTGGGAAATTTTTGGGAATTTCAGTCATTGATATTTTTGATTCTTTCCACTGAAAATTATTAATCATCCTATGTGCTTAGGGGTCAAGAACACAGACATAAGAAACAACATATTCTCAAAATGCTTACAGGCTCTTGGAAAGGAAGACAAGGCAATAGTTACAGGGCACATTTAAATACGATGTGATAGAAATGATCACAGGTTGGTGATGGGGAACTTGTGAGTTTTGATAACCTAGTGGACACTGAAGTTGGGAATGGGGAGAAGGAGAGATGAAGGTTAGGAAAGAATTCTTGTGAAATTGCCTCATGAGACTCAAATGTTTTGATGTAGGAGTTAACCAGATGGCAGAAGGTAGAAGGAGGGGGCAGCATTTCAGACAGAAATATTTGCTTATATGATGCCTTGAAAGTGTCAGTGAATGTAGCCTGTAGGAACTATGTGAGGGGGGGGCACCTGGGTGGCTCAGTGGTTGAGTGTCTGCCTTTGGCTCAGGTCGTGATCTTGGGATCCTGGGATTGAGTTCCATATCAGGCTCCCTGCAGGGAGACTACTTCTCCCTCTGCTTATGTCTCTGTCTCTCTCTATGTCTCTCATGAATAAATCTTTAAAAAAAAAAGGAAATATGTGAGTGGGGATTGATGGAAGGTAGTTGTTTTGGTAGTGTTAGGAAGTTAATGAAGGATTTAAGGTAGGAGAATGACTTGAGATGAGATGGCAGAGAAGAATCTCAGGGAAATAGTTGGTGTTAGAGTATAAATCTAAGCATGGGCTAACATAAGGGATAAAAAGTGCTTCCTACTTACTTGTGGAGACAGGTAAGCAAAAATTACATTACAGAATGTACATGCTGTAGTGTGAAGTGCTATGGATTGAGGAGTAAGTGATTTTGGGACTGGGCATTTAGGAGTCATTGGTATATGGGTGGTAGTTGCAACTAAGAATGTTGATGAGATTTTTTTCAGGGAAAGAATTTACGAACATGAATGAATGAACTAAAGGTAGAATTCTGGAAAAATGCAACCTTCATAGGATAATGGTTGAAGAATCATCTAAAGCTATGGTTTTAGCACTGTGGATTGCAATTTATTAGTAGGTTACAAAATAAAGACAGTGGATGTGAATGTAATGTGGTGGTTATAGACAGAATTTTAAAAACAGGTTAGGGGAGAATAGAAAATGTCAGTATATATAGTAAAGGTAATTATTGTGAAATTTGGTTCAGAATTGTGCATTTGTGCATGTGTGTAAAGTGCATTTCTCATTATGTGCAGTGGTCACAAACTTTTGAAAAACTCCAATAAAAGACACTAAGTAAGGAAGAGCAATCAGAAATGACTTAATCACTTTCGTTCTTCACTAATCGGATGGCAAGGAAAAGAAAGTCAGTGAAGGTGCAATGGGAAGGAGATTCTCTCTTTATGATTCAGATGGTTTCCCCATAGGCCACGTTTAATTATATCAGTTGTATAGGGAGAAAAATAAAAAGAAATAAGGGAAAGAGACTCACAGGATAATAAACTCAAAGACCGAGAGGGAGGTAGAGAATGTGAATGAGAGAACAAACCCCCAACGGAAGCTGAATGTTTAATCTAACCCTACTGTGTGATGGCAAAAGCTCCATTCATAGCACGTGGCCCAACAAAGCCCCTTGGATTCATCCAATTATATCAACTATGTTCTTTATTATGAAGCTAGAGGAGGAACCTGAGAGAGGACACGAAACTATAATTAAAATCATGATGTAGTGTTACTAAAAATAGAGATTACTGAGAACTTGATTATGGCTCAATAACTGTTCTATGTACTTAAAGTGAATAATCCACCAAGTAAGTGAATATTTGTAAGGCCCTTAGTGCCATGCACATGGTAAGCACTCAGTATATCTGGTTATTATTCATAGAGCAGTGTACATGGCAAGCATTGGATCAGTATTGGCTATTATTGCATATTATTACTAATTAGCTATGTTACTAATTATCACCACTTTACCAGTAAGGAAATTGAAATGTAATAAATGTGAGTAACTTGCCCAAAATCATTTATCTAGAAAGAAATGGAATCATTCGTTTCTGAGTTGGAGGTGAAAGACTGATTAGTGTAGATACATGATGAGTTATATAATTGGTGCTTGAAGTACATTAATGGGAGAGGGAAGAGAAAAGATGGGCCATAAGTGAAAGGCATTGTGAGGGGGAAAAAAAAACCCTCCTTAGCTTGGTGACTGGTTAGATATGAAGTAAAAAGATGATTAAGATTTTAAGCTGGTTGACTGGGAAAGTGGTAAATAAGATGTAAGAAAATAAGGAAGAAAACCTTCTTTTTGATAAGAAATAATGATAAATTCCATATGATTGTGTTGAATTTTATGTAAGATAGTCAAGAAAAATGAGTAGCCAGGGATTCAAAACTAAAGATATAGATACTTTGGCATTATCGTCACATAAATGAGTTGATAGAAACTATGAGTGTGAGATCTTCAAAAATGACCCATTTATTTTGGTCATGACAAAACCAGGGGACTTAAAAAATAAGATCATGGATAATTGCCCCCACACAAAATTTCTACAGTGTTGCCCACATCTGCTTTGCAGAAATCTACAAATAATTTCGGGAATCTTTGAAAAAGAGTGTATTACTACTGCTACTGGGACTGGCTCTTGTCTGGCATCCACTGTTTTCCTGGCTCCTGCCCTGGCTGCTGGGGCTGTGTCTCCTCTTGCTGCCACTGTCAATGAAGGCAGTAGAGGCTCAGCTGTGGTTTGGCACCTTCCCACTAGCACAGAGACTGCCGTTTCCCCTCATGGCATTCTCAGAGACCCTGGAGTCAATGATGAGAAAGCTCTCCTAGTTTTTCTTATTCTTTCCTTATTTTCTCTGTTCCCACCTCCGGTTTCAGACTTCTTATTCACCGGGTTTTTCAGCACCCCTATCCAAGTGACAGGTGTGTTGGCTTCATGGTTCCTCAATCAAATTTTTATGCCTAGATGGCTCCTGATTTTCAGATGAATTCTCACACAAAACGCGTCTCAATTTTTACTCCATCAATACTCAGGCACGTTGAGACTCATCTGAATGCTAGCGTGAATGTCCCTTATTAGGTTTAAAATGGGACCAGGACCCTCACTCCTTGCTCTCTCTAGAAAAGAGAGATTGAAGTGGAAATGACCACATCTTCCATGATTATCCCATCCCTTGTTTTTCCACTCCCTTCTCTTCTTCCTAGGGCCGTTTTCCTGGCTGATTGAAGATTATTTCTTTTTCCCAAACGGAACAGTGATGTGCACTACTGTGAAATTAGATCCCAAGTGACTATTCCTTTGGGAGGTTTGATTCACTTCCTCCTCTTTTTTTTTTTTTTTTTTAATAATCCTTCTTAAAGCTTTTCATACCTCTTTACTGGAGCTTAGTAAAGATTTGAATATCTAGCACATTTTCCTTTCAAATAAGTATTGGTAATGTATTTCTCCCCCCAGTTCACCTGTGAAGAATACCGATGAGTCTTTTTGAAAACTCATCATTGGCAGTTACTTTAGAACAGCAATTTATTGAAAGCTACTATATTAGAAATGTTTTATTGCACTGCACTAGAGCTATGAAGTGCAAGGAACCATGAAGATTGAAAAATACAAATGATAGATGTGTCTCTTTCTCCTTATTTTTTAGCCTTCTTTGAATCCTGGGGGGAGCCAGTCATCTGATGTGGTGCTTTTGAACCACTGGAAAGTGAGGAATTTTGAAGTACAACGTGGTGACATTGTGTCATTGGTGTAAGTAAATCAGAAACATATAATATTTGCATATAGAATTATTTATAATTGTCTGATTTACCTGGTAATTTGCTGTTAATATCATTGCCAATTATTACATTAATAGGTATATTTTAAATGTAATATATTTTTAAAAATCACTTTTGAAACCTAACATTGCCATAAAAAAGGATTTTTCTTTTATGTCTAAAATATATCCAGTGATTGATATACTTGAATTTGGTAAAATGTCTTTAATGAAATGTTGATTAGAAATTATATTGATCATAAAGTACATGTAATCGGTATCAATTTGGATTATTTTGGGAATTTTGCATCTTGGAAGCAACCTTTATGTTACTTTCATTTTTATTGCTTTGTGTAGGTACACAATATTTCTAAAAGGTGATAATTGTGACATGAAATTCACTGATATTTCTGTGTATGTCTCAGTGATTGAACTTAAATAAGGCAGTTTGGAAGATTAGTAGACTGGAGGCTTTTGTCTGGGACCAAAAGGTGGCACTGTTTCTCTGTTAAAGTATTATGACTGGTCCAGAGCAAAAATTTCATTCCAGTCTTAATGTAGAAAAAGAATGTCAAAGTGTGCATAACTAATGCAATGATATAATACATAGTCAGTCCCAGCACATGCTTGAATGGGTTAGATTTGAGATTTGTTTGTTTTAAAAGTAAATTCACACTGAGAAGACTAACAGAACTTGCCTGACTTCTGGTTTCAGCTACTTATAAAAATGTTTTTATATGCTTCCTTGTTATGGCAGTTAGTGTGTCGGGGTAGCAATTAATATAGCAGTTACTGTCATTTTTTTTTTTGTCATTTGTTTTAATGATAGTAAAATCCTGGTGTTTGGTGAAGACTTCCAGTTTATATTTCTGGTTCTTTAATTGGAATGATTGCTTTTTTGTTGGATGAGAATTTATAATTGTTCGGTAAATGTAAAACATGATCTACTTGTTCAAACTTATCTTTGGCTAGTGCTTTGTGGAAATAGATGTTTCATAAATGTGTCTCCTTCAAGCCTGTTTTTCTAGGATTCATTTGAAAAAACTTATTAACTAAATCTGGTAGTAACTCATAAAATAAATACATTTGAATAGAGTTTTGTATGGCAGACATCCAAGGATAGGGATTAAATGCTTCTCATGTTCTTGAGTGCTTTCTTTAATATTAACCTACTCTTTGGACTCTACTTTTATTTTGTCATTCAGAGTAGTTTTTTTTTTTTTTTGCAACCTCCTTAACAACCTTTTCCATGCTGGGTTAGCCTGTTGTGTGCTCATTATTCTTTTGCCTTTGGTTTGACAAGGTTACATTCTCACTTAGTCGGTGATGGAGAGGATACCCACCCAAGTGAAAGAGGTCACACTGTAAGCAGACAATTGTGCAGTTTTTATTTTTTTTCCAAGAGAAACATGCTGACTATCTTGAAGCAGGTAAATTTGAATAGATAATTGGAAAAAAGAGACTCCTTGAAATTCAGGGTTGCATGGGTTTGTGAAAGTACACTAGCATATAATGGACTATGTGAAAAACAGAACACTATTCTCTTATGTAAATATTAAACTAATTGATACATATTATATAAATTAACTGAAAAATAGCATATCTGAATTGAAGGTGATATAATAAATTATAGCTACTTGGGTTGAGCTATATTTTTAATGAGTTAATTATGTGCTATATCTCTGTCATGTACAAATAACACAAATTTTCTTTTATAATTCTTGTTGCTAGAAGGAGCCATTTACATAAAAGAATGCTTAGTGATTGGTATTATATATTTTAAGAACAAATAATCATTAAGCAATGATTTTTTTTGAGAAAGAGACAAAAAGTCTTTTGCTAAATTCTTTTTTAGCATGATGTAATACTATATAAAAGACATTATTTAAAGTATCTTTTTAATTTTATGAACAAAAGTACTTTCTAAATGTCCTTATATTTATATATATTTTATAGACTGCTTCATTTGAAAAGATTAATGTTGGTTTGATTAATGTTCATGAATATATATTTAATTCACATCAACACTGAATATTTGCTTTTCTTAGAAAATCTATCAGTCTGGTTTTAACTTAGATCATAATTATCATTAGTACATCAGAACATTCTCTGTATTTAAGAGATGTGTGACTCAAGAAATATATGACTAAACTTGAATTTAAGGCTAAATAGAAAATGTCATTTTTTTGTTTATAAATTGATATAACATATTTCATTGATACATACAATCTTTGGAAACAAGGTAGTATGACAGTTTATAGTAAAAAAATCCTGGGACAGTGTTGCATATATTCGGTGTTTGTAGTAATACAGCATTTTTATTATGTATTATATATACATTTCTGGAAAAGTTCAGTTTGCAAATTCATAAAGTAGTAGGGCTTGTGCAACTTTGTAACTAGAGCACTAGTGAAAACAAAAACAATTCAATATAAGTGCTATCACAGTTTAAATGACATGAAATTTTTTATAAATAAGCACTGCAATAAATGTAGAATTTATTTAAGACAAAAAAGCTGAAGGTAACCTGATGGAAGGGCAGATGGACATTTTCATTAGAAGTTACAAATAGTGAAAAGATTGCAAGCTTTGTATAAAATGTATGGTTACTGGAGGTGTATACTCTGCTCATTGTTCAGTGTTACCTAATTACTTACTTTATTTATTTAAAACAAAGATCAGAGTTAACCTTGCAATAAGCACTTCTAAGAAGATTGAATATGTAATACAGATTCCTTCCTGGCTTATTGCTGTTAGTGTACTTAGCCTTCAGTTGCTATTATTGATGAGACAATGCATTAATGATCTGGGAAAAAATTCCTTATGAACTAATGCAACGTCTGCTTTATACTGTAACTCTTTCTCCATGGTGCCTATGAGCTAATTTATGTTACAGAAACACATGCTGTAGCAGAACAGACTTTTCTTTTCTGTTGCAGTGGGTTTTGCTCAGAGATTATTGACCAAGGCTGTTCCCTAAAGCATGAAGGGTCTGAGGAGCTACAGATTAGAATATGCTTCGTTTCATCTCTTTCTTATCTTTTCTTGTCACTTTCTTTCTATGAATAGTGGAGCTAATGTTTAAACATGTTATTCAGTAATGTTAAATCAAAAGTTATATTTATTTAGTAACATTACTAGTCACATAAAACATTTGCTGTCATCAAGTGCTTAGTATTATTGAGTGTATGTAGGTGACATCATACTCTCTTAGTGGATTTGCAAACTAATAGTGGTGATTAAGGTGGATTTTCTATACCTTGGAATTGACTCTTCATTAACCTGTGTGATGGCCTTACAGCAATAGGCTTAACATAAGTAGCATATTTACAGTGATGTTTCAATGAACAAATCCATTGGGACAGAGGTTCCTTCATAATAGTTTCAAATGATCACATTTAAAAGTGTTTTAACTTTTTATTTTGATATTAGATGTCAAGAAAGGTTGTAAGAGTAGTATGGAGAGTTCTCATATAATCTTTTTTTCAGCTTTACTGATGTACAATTGACAAATAAAATTGTAATATTTAAAATGTAAAATGTAAAATAAGATGGTTCATATATATATATCCGTATATATATAATGATAGGATTGACCTCATTGTGTTAATTAGCACATCTGTCACCTTTACCTTTTGTGTGTGTGTGTGTGTGTGAGAACATTTAAGTTCTACTTTCTAAGCAAATTTCAGTTGTACAATACAGTGTTATCAGCTGTAGTCCCCATGTTATCCATTTGATCCACAGAGTATGGATCTTACCCCCCCTACATTAATATTGTCCACTACCGTGGTACAATTACTGAGATGAGAAAGTTGATATTGATACAGTACTATTAAATAACTATGAGCATTTCACCAGTTTTCCCACTAACGTCCTTTTTCTACACCAAGATCCTATGTAGGATCCCATATTTCATTTTTTTTTAATGTCTCTCTAGTTGCCTCCAATCTGTAATAGTTCCTCATTTCTTCTTCATCTTTTTTGATCTTGACACCTTTAAAGGGTTCTGCCAGTTATTTTGTAGAAAAATACTTACCTTTAGAAATTCTGAGGTCAGTGTATGTTCCAGTGGAGAAGCATTGCTGTTGATGGCAGTTGCGGGGGAAGCTGTAGTGGTAGTTAAGAGCTGGGGAGGTAGATGAGACAGGGCCAGAGAAGGAAATATTCTGGCATAAGTCATTCTGGTTTCTTAGGACCACATACGTGGGTCATGACTGAGAGACGCCATGGCTTCCCGAAGTCTACACAAGCATGTTACTGCTGCTAAGAAGCAAGGAGGAAGAGCTGTGCAGGTGGGGGAAAGGCTAAAGTTTATAGTACAGATAGAAGAGAAGGAGCTAAGGCTGGGTCCTAGATGATACTATACTGAGCCCATGTGAGGTTTTAGATCTAGTAGAAGGTGAGGGTGGGGAAATTCTCTTTTAATGAGTACCCCGTATATCAGGCATTGTGCTATGCATTTTATGTATGCTATTTTTACTTAATTCTCATAACAATATCTGGAGATAGTTAGTTTTAACCCAGTGAAGATGAGATTTAACAAGTAAATAGCAAGTGAATAGCAGAGCTAGAATGAGAATCCAGGCCTACTTGACTCTGAACCTGTCCTGTTGGACATAGCTGGTAAATATGGCTACTGAGCAGCTGAAGTAGTTATTATCACTTGTTAAAATGATAATATTTTGGACATATTCATTAGATAAAATACTTTATTAGAATTAACTTAAACTTTTTTAAAAAAGATTTTATTTATTCATGAGATATATAGAGAGAGGTAGAGACAGAGGCAGAAGGAGAAGCAGGCCCACCACAGCAAGCCCGATGTTGGACTCGATCCCTGGACTGGGATCACGCCCTGAGCTGAAGGCAGATGCTCAACCACTGAGCCACCCAGGCGTTCCTTCTTTTTCTTTTTTTAATGTGGCTAGTAGAAGACTCAAAATTAAACATGTGACACACATTCTGTTTTTATTGGACGGAGACCGCAGTG